TTGTTTTTTCATTATTTAGTATATCAAATAAAATATAAATAGATTCACATATATTATTCTACAATTACAAATATACTCAAAAATTTTAACAAAAATTTAATTTTTAAATTGATACAAAATTTTAATAAAAAAAAACCTATACGAATAAAAGCTTACAAAAATATATGATTGATATAAAGTTTAAAGCATTACACAACTTTTTGTTATAAGATATACCATTTTGTAAATGGATTTTTAATCAAATTTTTATATCAATATGACCAAAGAAGATTAACATTAAAATCTTTGCAACAAATTGAAAACTGTGCTTTGAGCGTTTTTATTTTTACACTAAATGTTATCTTAAACTGCATAAATGTATTATCAATAATCATGGCACATCTTTAAATGAAATGATACAAAATGTTAATAGAAAGAAAATATTGCATCTATTCCGATTTGTGATGTTACCATTATACTCTTACACCATGGAATATTTTAGAGTGCTATTCTCCTTTTTTGAATTTATAATATATACACAATCGTATAATACAATTTTATAATACAAATCATAGAATAGATTCATCAGGACACAAATCTGCTTTCATGGAAGAAAGGAAAAACTTACTATCATATTTTAGTCTGGAACAGAAAAAGAGAGAGAGAGAGAGAGAAAGAGAGAGAGAGAGAGAGGAGAGACTGCATGTAGAAGATTATACTATAATACATGAAATGTATGTACATATATCAGTTAACCGTCTGTTCAGAATATATCTTCACAACCACTTTAACACATATGTATCACACATGTTATGTTCATAGTATATATTACGCATTCTCTATAGCAATATCACTGCCTTCTTCTAAATAACAAATGGAAATAGATTTTCTTATAAGCATTAATTTAAAATCTACAGATTTTCTCTATAATGTTATATTATAGTGTTGTTATAATCCGACAATTTTCTTTTTTTTTTTTTTTTTTATCGAATAATTGGTATTTTTCTAGATGATCTTGTGTATATAGAAATCAATTGAAATTCATTTTACACACACATCTAGATCACAGTGCAAAAATATCATTTGCAATGCAGCCTTATGCAGATAGCCTTATGGCCATTGGAAATTGATTCTCTGTCTCTGTTTATATAATAACTATAATTTAGCCTAAATCTTAAAAGCTATTGTTATAATTCGTCATCGATATGTTTAACTAATTTTGGTTTGGTTTCCTCTTTCTGTTGAATGTTTTTGCTCACATATTTTTTCCCATACTTCAATTTACTTAGTTTTATAGTATTATATTGTATATCTGAAATTTGCGATTTTTTTTTTAATACTTTCTCCTCGTTGGTAGTCGACATAAATTTTTTAAACTCTTCTAATGAATCAGTAAATATAATTTTATTTGCAATCAAATCTTTCTTATTAAATAATTTTTCTTTTAAAACAGTTTTATAAGAATGTTGCATGTCATTAATATCTCTCTGTATTTCTTGTAATAAAGTACGTCTTTTATTGGGAAAAGCTGTCCCTACATTGGTATCCATAGTTGTAGGTATATCAGAAACATGATACTTGTTAGTATCGGATATAGAATGTGTAGAAGATTTATCCTCTTGTTTTTCCTCCATAATTACTTTCTCAAATCCCACATCTACTGCTTTTGTTGTTTGTAAGCCTACTTTTTTCTGATGTGAACTTTGAACTTTACTCTTTCTATCATCGTTTTTGCTTTGATTTTTAGAGGAGTGCAAAATAATATCATTAGATTTAATAGCATCCTTATTTTCCTTATCTTGTGTGACAGCACTTTTCGATTCACTATTTACATCTTCATACTTTTCTAAGATATTTTGCTCAGAGTATTTCACAACTTTCTTTAGTTCTGTCAGTATGAAATATTCGAAATTCTCAGTGCTTTCTATTTTCTCAGTGCTTGATTTCTTATCCTTCTTTAAAATGTTAATGTTTTTAGCTTCAATTTCTCCTTTACCTCTATTACTGTCATTTATAAATTCTGCAATTGCTAAATCGCTCTCTTTAGTTTTTCCAAGTAAATTTTCTTCTTTATCTATATTTTTTAGATTCTTTTGTAGATCAGCAATTAATATATCATAATATGAATTATCTTCTTCTCCCAATTTCTCCAGATGCCTTTGTACTCCATCAATTAATATTTCTTGATATATAGTATGCACTTCTGCATGGACATGATCCAAAAGAGTAATATGTTGATTAATGACTTCATCTTCTTCGTCGAACAAATCAATTAATAAATGACGCAAGAACGAGTAATTTTCAATCTGTGTAATGCCAGATTCTGATATTTTTAATAATTGCTCCATTTTGGGTCTTACTGATTTTATACTCTTTAATTTTGTGGCTACCGTTTTTAAATTCAATACCATAGTATCCATATTTGTGAGTAAATATTGTTTCAATAATTTCTGCTTGTTTAATTCTAATAGTTGCCCTATCTTTTTAATAGATGAGTTTGGTGAAACTACTAATAGTTCACTTAAGAACCATCGAACTTTGTAAGACAGTGATGTTTTCGTAAGTACTCCACGCGCTTTGTTTACCCAATTGTAATAGCTCTCCAAAATAAAACTCCTGATTCTTATACCTTTATTTTCTTTCCTATTAAGGAATATCTGATTGACAAACACTTCCTTCAACTGATGCCATAATCTTTCTATTGGTGTAGAATCTGGTCTTAAGATGATAATTGCAGGTTCAGAAGAGGCAGTAATTCTCACTTCACCACCAAGCGAATCTTTGATGATTTCCGCATGAAAATAATGAAAATCGACTACATCCTCTTGATCTTCCTGTGATTCAATTACAGGAATCGTTATATCTAAACTGGATCCAATAGTTGTCGCCTACAAAGAATACACATATAATTTTTTAAAAATGTGATATAAAATACAGAATAGATCTTGTATAAAAATTCAAAGAAGTCAACAGACCTGTGGACTCATATGTCGGCTGAGAA